CTGGATGTATACCTGAACACATATCTAGAAAGGTGAAGTCTTCTTCCATTTTTATATAATATAATTACGAAGAAGACCACTTTCAGATATATATCCACTTGCCTTCCTTTTACAATTTGTTTTCTAGCTTGCTATATGTCTTTTTTTTCAAGGATGAAAAAGTGCGTCAGGGATATTTGAGGAATATTTGAGTGATATTTGGGTTTGGGTTAGTAGATCAGTTGATTAGAGAATTGGAGGTGCCAACTTCGTATCTTTTTTTTGGTATACTTCTATATTACGTGAAGGCTATACCATACCGAGTACATACCTAGAAAGTGTAGTCTTCTGCCATTTTTATATAATATAATTACGCAGAAGACTACACTTTCAGATACATATCTGTTTGTCTTCTTTTTATGGTTTACTTACTAGCTTGCTATATGTCTTATTTTGGAGGATGAAAAAATAAATGCGCCAATAAAAGTACCCATACCTGAGCACATACTAGCATTAGGGTAGCCTTCTTCTGTCACAATATTCTATATAATGATTACGGAGAAGACTACCCTAAATATCACCTACTAAGAATATGTTTATTTACGATTTGCTCACTAAGTTCTGATGAAGGCTTCTGCCATTTTATATAATATAATTCTGCAAAAGTCTTCATATCATATCTGACTACATACTAATGATAGGGCCAATATTTATATAATAGATTTCGCACTTACCTACACTTTCAGATATATATTTGAATACCTTCCTTTTGCGATTTGGTATAAAGTCAGATGGGCCTTCTTCCAATTTTTTATATAATAATTCTGAAGAAGGCTCCACTTTCAGATACATATCTGCTTCCCTTTCATTTACGATTTGTTGACTGAGTTTGCTATCACTTCTTTATTGTATTCATCGAAAAAATTAATTAAACATTTCAATAGGGCTCTTTTCAGGTGCCAACTTTGTATCTTTTTTTGGTATACTTCTATATTACGTGAAGGCTATACTATACTGAGTACATACCTAGAAAGTGTAGTCTTCTGCCATTTTTATATAATATAATTCTGCAGAAGACTACACTTTCAGATATATATCCAGTTGTCTTTCTTTTTTTATTTGCTATTAAGTTGGCTATTACTTCTTTTTTACACACTTCGAAAAAATATATTTAAACATTTCAGAAATATATTGAAATAGTATAACTTTTCTTATTGACACCATGCACACTCTAACTATTTTCGATCAAACTGATCGCACTGAATCTGGCCCAATGCTCGCCCGCTATGACAGCACTGAGTCTGTAGCTGATATCCCATCATGTAATGATATTGTAGCAGAATTTGATAATGGAATGACCGCTATACTTCAGCAATGCTTATCTAATAAGCAACTCGTACACTTTATGCCTACTGCTGTAAGTGATGAGGCTGAATACATTAATGGAGTATCCACCTATATTTTGTGTGTTAGTAGTTGCTTGATTAATGGGCAAAAGACTATCGTGAATGTTATAGGCATTAAACTTTTCTTTGATATCGTAGTACCTGAAAAGACATCATTACCTACATTTAAGAGCAGATTAGTAAATATACTGTCTAATACCCTCAAAGGCACATCGAAATTCGGGATTGAGCATATTAGCGCTTTTCCACTTCAAGGGTATCATACAAAAAAGAAACCATATATACGTGTTACTACTTGGAATCATTTTGATCGATATAAGGCATTAAAAATAGTTCGTGAAGTTGGTATTAGCACCGCTTCTGATGATCTAAATCCTACATACTATTATCGTAAAGTAGCCTGTGAAAAAAGATTACCTCTTTCAAGCTGGGCGGTACTAAGTAACTATTCATACAAATACAAAGGAAATTTATCGGCAAATCTTCCAAGTATCTGTGAACAATTACAATTCAATCAGTGAAGACGATTATAATAATCCATTATTTTCCTCAGCGCTTTCACGGGATCGCACTCTCGTTCTCACATGGGATATCGAAATATATAGCTCACAAAAAACAGGTGAGGTGCCAAATGCAAAATACGAAGAAGACGTTGTGTTCATGATTTGTATGACTGTTCATTGGAAAAATGATCCTGAACCATTAAAACAAATCTGTCTTGTTGATGTTGAAACTGCGCCAGACCTACGCTTGATCACAGTTGTATGTGAAAACCAAACCAATTTACTAAAAGCATTTGCATTATGTTGGAAATGTTTAGCTCCGGATATACATTTAGGTTTTAATGATTCACAATATGACTGGCCATTTATTGTGGAGAAGGCGAAAAAGTTAGACGTTCTCAAATGGATGTTCAATCATATGTTACTAAAACCTATGAGCCTCGAAAAGATTACAAAATGGCAATATCAATATAACATGATAAAAGTAAATGATGGGAACTTCTATTCGAGATATCTTAAAATTCCTGGATGTGTGGCTATTGATGTCTGACCCTGTTTTAAGAAATTCTACCCTAAAGCCGAAAAAAGTAGTCTTGCATATTACTTAAGGGAGTGTAATCTTGACAACAAAGTGGATTTACCTATTCATCGCATGAACAAATATTATGAAAGGGCATTAAAAGAAACTAATGCCACAATGGCTGAGCAGATGTGTAAAATAGCCAAGTATTGTATCATTGATGCTCTTAGTTGCCAGCAGTTAATGATTAAGCACAATGTAATTAATGAGTACAGGGAAGTTGCGAGCATAGCATTTATATCATTATTCGATACGCATTATTTTGCAATAGAAATGAAAGTAAGCAATCTTTTAAGTGCTAGTGCATAGCAGGAAGGAATTTTAACCAGTAAAATTTCAGAGCGAATGGAGACAAAGTCATTCCCGGATGCCTACGTCTTCCTACCAATAAAGGGGCTCAAAAATAAACGTCCTGTAACCAGCTTAGACTTTGCATCATTATATCCAAGTCTTATTATGACTTACAACCTCTCACCTGATAAAATTATTTTATCTCGAAAACATGCTGAGTCTCTGAGAGGTAGTGGTAAAAGCCTTCATAAAATTAATTTCAAATTCAATGGTAATGATATTCTTACATAGTCTATAGAACATAATAATATTCCTGAAGAAAAAGGTCTCTATGCCAAAATATTAGAATATTTATCTAGCAAATGGAATGAGATAAAGAAACGTCTTGCCCCTTTGAAAGAAAGAAAGGAAGACATGGAACTGGTAATAGGTTTAATGAATAAAGGTTTGTCACTACCAGAAGCTATTGAGTATGGTTTAGCAAAAGCAGAAGAGAAAAAATGTGCTTACCTTAACAAAAACCTATACTATTTTATTAATAAAGAAAAGTATGAATTCATGGCAGAATACGATTCAGTTTGTTTTGATTATTCTTGCTTTGATGCGAAACAAAATGCTCTTAAGGTATACATGAACACATTTTATGGTACGGCTGGAGATAGCAAGTCTTCTTTCTTCTTATGTGAACTTGCTGAGGGTGTCACATCGGCTGGACAGAGAAATATCAAACTTGTTGCAGATTTCATTAAAAATAAGGGATTTGGGATAAAATATGGTGATACTGATTTCTTATATCTCGTCTGTCCAAAAGAATGTTTCCAGGAATGTGATGAGGCATATTACAATGGTAATGGGATTTCGAAAGAAGAATATTGGTCTAGAATAGTACAAATCTCTATGGAGGAAATTGGAATACTTCGCGATGAAGTTAATACTTTTCTCAGAGAAGATAATGGTTCATCTTATCTTAAAATGGCATATAAGGAAGTCTTATTTCTGGTAGTTTTTACTGGAAAGAAAAAATACTATGGTATTCCACATGAAAGCAAGCCAAACTTTAATAAAGAGCTTTTCATCCGGGGAGTTGAAATTGTAAAATGAGGAAAGTCAAGTCTTTTCCGCAAAGTAGGAAGGTATATTATGGATGAATCTATGAAGGTGGATAATTCACATACCTTACATCAAATCATAAAGGATATTCTTAGGGAAACTGTAAAGGATATTTCTCAGACAGATCTTAATGAAATAATTAAAACTGCTATGTAGAGGTCTGATAAAGATAACAATAGTGTACAGCGTTTTATTTCATGAATGCGAGATAGACATACCTGTAAAGAAGCAGATGCCAAACAGCTCATTAAAAAGGACCTAACACCCGAGCCTTATCTTTATCAAATTCCAGAACCAGGTAAGCGCTTTGAATATGTTGTAGTTGAGAATAATTCATCGGAAAGAATGGGGAACAAAATGGAGTACCCAGAAGTAGCAAGACGACTTGGTAAAAAAATCAATATTAGTTATTATCTAAAAAGTGTTGTCAACCTCTGTGCACGATTTATTAACTATGATGAATTATTCCAGCCATCATCTGAAATTATGCTGGAAGCCTTAAAAAAGTTAAAAGATGGTAATAAAGCGGGTGATAATAAAGTGGATGATGGTAGGGTAGATGAAGGCGATGACCTAGACGAAGATGAAGAGGATTAAGACAAAATAGATGAAGATGAGATATCAAAAATAAGAGATGCCTTAGCGCAGAAATCAGCTGAAAAGTGGGTTAGAGGGTATATCAAAAACCTACGTGATAGTCCGAAAAAAGATAAAACCATTATATCTCATTTATGGGAAAGGCATGCATTTACGCGAAAACTTTATTTAATACTACTTATGCTAACAAGGGAGAACACCTGACTAACAATGCTTATTACCAATCATTCCTCAATGCGCTAGATAAGCAAGAAGAGTCCATCTGCTTAAAACTTTCATCATTGCTTAAAGAACTTTCTGAGGTTGATATAGAGTATAGAGACAGTATGTATAAATTAGTTACTAAGAAGCGAGCAATGTCCTTAGAACAATATTTAATATCATATTATTTGGATGAGTGTAAGCTACTAGCAGATTTCCGAAACACATGGTACAAAGTGATTGGCCTAGAAATCACACGCTACTGAACGTTATCGAAATTATAGGATAGTAAAAAAAATGATTCGTCCGAAGCCGATATAGATGATATTATCGAATTATATGGATAAGAACTCTTAGCGGGATGTAGCAATTTCAGCTAAGCACTTAGTCATAAGATGCTTCACATAATATTATTTACATATTTTTTTCATGCAATAATACCAGCTAATTTCAATTCTTATCTTTGAGCTTCTGACCTAGGATGATCACTCCAAACTTCTGGCCTCCGATCATACAACCCGGCTTCAAAAATGCATGGAGATGATAAAAAATAGTTCCAGTTAAGAGAATAGTCAGTATTGCTTTTTTTCCACGAATTCCATATCCTTCTCCCGATCATGAACCATATAATTGCAAGAATTAGTAAGGTGAGTATGATATATATTAACATTGGCGACATTAAGGAGCTCGCAATAATAGGAGCAGTTGCTGGTAAAGATACCACTTTTGCACCACCTGATTGCTCTGCAATCCCTTCACTCGAAATATACTTTTCAGAATGTGCTGGTCGACTATGAACGAATTGATTGGGTAGAGTATCTGTCTGACTTCTCGAAACCATCTCATCCCGAGGTAATACCTCTTGCAAAGCCTCTAATATATTTTCTCTGGCAAAACTTTTATCGAATTCCATAACTTTATTTTCAAGACCAAGCTCATAGACAAGAGGTCTTAAATCGTCACTAAGCCAACCTGGTAGCTTTTGCGTTGAATCGTTCATAGGCGGAGGTAGGGAGATAGAAAGCTCTACTATTTCATTATCTTTTTTTGAGATTATCCTTTTTAATAAAAGATTTTCCTCCATTGAATTTAATTGCGCTGAAGACAAAGCATTTATTTCCCATTTGAATATGTTATTTGATGACTTTATCCCTTTTTCCATACATTCCAATTCATATTTTTTTGAAGACAAATCATCCCTTACCTGTTCCAATTCAAGTCTGAGGGAATCCATCTCAGATAAGTTCATTTGAGCTAAGGAAGAATTCTTCTCCAATGCTTTCAACTTGGATTGAAAGGCTTTTATCTCTTTTGATTTTGTAGCGAGTTTGTCCTTAGAATCTGCAAGAGAAATATCTTTGCGAGTAATCTGAAAATTTAAAGAATCTATCTCTGATCATAGTTGTGACATTTTATTTATAAGCTGATGGATGCGGTCGGAGAGTTTCCTATTATTGGTTTCAGCTTGTTCTAGATTATGGTGCAATTTGGCTTTGTCTCGATCATTTCTTTTACTATAGCTTGAATATACCCCTGCATGTCATTATATTTATTGGTAAGCTCGGAAATGGATTTGATACTGTTGCGCAACATCTCCTCAAGTTCTGTTTTACGAGCACTACCCAGGCGATGGCTTAAACTAATATATTTCAGGGTATGCACATTTCTCATATTTTACACCCGGTTATGAAGCAATAAAAAAAGATAAGCGTAACTAAAAATTCATCCTTTGTTTTCTTCCTATGACTATTTTGGTTGAGACTCTCGATTGAAATTTTAGTCATGGGGATTGAGGATAGTGTTTTTTATCAATATGAAATAATAAATATCATTTTCTATCGGTTTTTATTGTTTTTTAATGTTATAAATACGATAAATATCATTTTCTATCATTTAAAAATAATAAATATCGTTAAAAAAAATACCATTTTTTATTGTTATAAAATTACTGGAAGAATTGCATGGCCAACCCATTTTTACAAACTCATTATTGTCGAGGCGCCACTGATTTGACGCCTGAGCAAATCGAAAAAATTAGGCATCTCAAAAATAAGGTTCCTACATATATGATAGTGAGAGATTATCATATACATAAAGAGCATATTCATGATATATCAAACAATTGTGAACGGTCATAACAGAGTAAAAAGTATGAATTGGCAGAAATTCTTAGTATTGTTATACGAGTCGATTATGAAGTCTACCGACTGAAAAATAGACTTCAACACGTATAGCAAGGTTTTAGGTATC